CTTCATTCAGATCGGTGTTGGGGAACCGATGATTCGAAATCATCGCGTGTAAATGGATGCGTTTCGGATTATTTCGAATTGAAATAGCGAATAATAGCTATTTAAATAGGAGTTCGTTCAAAAGATGTTTCAATTTTAATGATAATTTTGAATGTACGTTGCTGTTCTCGATGTTATTAGATAGACTTTTAATCAAACGAAAAACGAATGACTATTGTTCAACTTGTATGAAATTCCGAAATCTCTTTCGATAGATTGAAAGAAAAGAAGAGAGAGAGAGAGAGAAAAGAATATTCCATCCCCGAAAAGCTGGAAGGAAAAATCAGTGGAAATCGTTAAGAAAATTCGAAAGAATCCCGAAAATCACGGATCCGCGGATGCAGCGTACAATACACGGTAATCACGGTGGAGGCGAAAAACGCATCCACGGCAATGGAGGAATGATTTTCGTCGGCTTAAAAATTACCACGTTCTTTCATTTCGGCGGAAAGGAGGGCGAATTTCAAAGCGCACGAAGCGATATTCCCTCTCTCGTCTCCCCTCTCGCGCAAAAATTTCAAATTCCTCGCGCGATCGCCGTGGGCGAGGAGATCGCGGAACGAGACTGTGCGCCGCGACAGCGAACGAGTCGAAACACGAGCTACCCGCTCCCCAATTTATCACCACACCTGCGGTTCATGCCTGCCTATCCTGCCCACCCGATCAATTATGCTCGATTGACAACGGACGAGTGTTTTTCCCTCCCTCGTTCACGCTTTCCATGATTGCGTTATTATCGAGCGAACATTTTTCAGTAGTTTGAACCATGATTATAGAGAGTTTTCTAAGGTACGTGTATTTCCAGATCTCGTGGAATGGAAAGAAACTTGGGTCGAACGATGATTATAGAGAGTTTTCTAAGGTATGTGTATTTCCAGACCTCGTGGAATGGAAAGAAACTTGGGTGGAACGATGATTATAGAGAATTTTCTAAGGTATGTACATTTTCAAACCTCGTGGAATCGAAAGAGACTTGGGTCGTTGTCGAACGATGA